ATATCAAATGTAAATAGGTTTATCAGTAAAAAAATTCACAGAATAAACTATTTCGGTCTTAACATCAGGAAGAATTTGACAAAGTAGTCATGCATACTAATGCAGAAACGATGTTTACTATGATGTTTTTTTAAGCCATCTGTAACCAAATTGATAAGACTTTTTAATCAAAGATTATTCAGAATTATTTCCAAGAAAATTTCTTGAAATAAGCTGATTTTGCGTAATGGGAAAACAGGAATATTAGTCTAAATATTATTTTATTTTCATTTGAAATAATAGAAATGAATGCATTTGTTGATAATAAACAAAATATTTGCAATACTGGTGTACAAAAAAACAAAATTTTTAAAGTCTTCTATCTTATCACATATTTGATGGCATGCGAACAGTTTGAGTATAATATATTCGTTCATTTCAAGGAGAACATGTTAAAAACCATGTGCTACCTATTGGATAACGTTCTGTCATTGCCCATTATTTCATTTTAGTCCGCTTTGTTACTAGGAGAACAACATTCTCAGTGATGAGTATCTAGAAAAAAAAAGCATTTCCCCCATCTCTCTCTTGTGCTCGACCTTCTTGAGGGTATATGATTTTAATATCAATAAAAAAAATCGCTTTAAGAACTATGTAAATAAATAAAGACTTCATAAAATTAATTTTTATCTTATTGATATAATTAGATTTTTATAATAGGCTCTCTCTGTGTTTCTATATTTTAGAAATGTAAATTTAACTTGACACAATTTAACGACTCACTTAGTCATATTTTGCTATTTTCATTTGCTGCTATAAGCAGACAGTAAAACACGAAATACCACAACACAATTCGTCCCCATCACCATGATCGTGATAGTGATTCTATTAGTAGCCTTGTATGGACAAATGAAAAGGCGCTATACAGACTGTATATAAACAGAGATAATAACACCGAGGATTCTCGTTTCTCTTCATTCCATTGTTGGTTAGAGCTTGGAGTCGACACTGGTCAATGTAGAATCTACAAACATATCCACTACAAAAGCTCACCCCTGTACAAATACTACTAAGACAGCAAATATCATACAAAAATAGAAATAATCTTATGTGTGCCATGACAACACTCTTTCTAGTGTCATTCTCACATCTTCAATCGTTTGCTCAAGCATCTATCATACGTCAATCAATCCTTTGTTTTATCTCATAAATTAATCTTCAACTACGTCGAATTTATCTTTGTAACAGAACAGATAGAGACGACAGATTATCTTATTTGTATTATTAAGGTATTCGATCGAAACAAGTTCTGTCGTTGTTTCTATTGATTAAATCTAACGAAACAAAGAATTAAATGAGCATGAATATTCTGAATGATGACTCTAGATCATATAAAATTCTACAGACTTTTCATCTTTGTTTTCTATCGATTCAACATTTCCATCGAATAGTTTAAGTCAATTATCGAAAATATAAATAATCATTAAATAAGATCTTTTCTCGTAAACTTTTATTAGTTTTAAAGAAAAGAAACATTTTTTTTTTCTTGATACAAATAAAATAAAAACATGTCTATATATTCTCTCTTGTTCTTCTCCCTCATCATAAATCACATAATTCGTCTTTTTTTAAAAAAAAATCTAGCATGAGAATAACAATCAAAAAAGAAAATAAAATAATAAGAAAAAAAAAAAAGTCACAGCTGAAACGAAAGAGAAACATGATTTAACCAAACGTACACAGATATATCCATGTTGTTTATATGTTAATAGACTCGTACTCGATTGTTTACATTTCCATAGTACATAGCATTACGAGTACCATAACTTCCATATCCTGTACGTTGATAACGACCGTCATTATTTCGTCGATATCCAGAACGTTGATATCCACCTTGTTGTATTGAACGAAATTTTAAACCAAATGTTTCAGCATTAACACGACGTTCTTCATTCCGATTACGACGAGCATTTCTAAAATTATTTAATTTATAGTAATAAGAGAAAAATTATTAAAAGTTTACGTTTTTTCTTTTTCTGTAGCTTCACATGAAATACGATCAAAGAAACTTTTTTGTTTATCATAATAACCATCAGAATTCGTTTCTTGTTGTTCTAATTGTGTTGTTGATGAAATTGTTGGTTGATTTTCTTTATCTTTTTCTTGTTCAATTTTTGGTGAATCATTTATGGTTTCATTTTTATTTGTTTTAATTGATAAACTTTTTTTAATTTCATCTTCAATGGCATTTTTATCAAATTCAGCATTGGATTTTTCAAAATCAAAATCACCAACAAATTTTAATGCTGATCGATTATTACCATTATTACGTTCATGTTGTTGACGATTAGTTCGTGTTTGTTGTTGATTATTAGGGATACCACCAGTTGAATTACGTCGTTGACGATAATTAAATCTTCCTGTTGGTTGTTGACCTTTGAAAAAAGTAAAAGAAAAAAAAATCAAATCAAATTTTTAAAATAAATAAATTTCAATTACGTCTCGATGAATAAAATCGATTTTCATTGTAACTTTGTAATGGTCTTGAAAAACGTTGTGATTGATGACGTGACCAATCATTATAACCATTATTTCGACGATTTGGAATATAATCATTATAATATTCTTGTTGACGAGTACGTCGTTGATTACCATAAGAATAATCTTGTCCATCATATTGACGTGATGGTGATTGTTGATTAAATCGTCTTGATGAATGTTTTTGATTTAAATTGAATGGACGTAATGATTCAGATGATTTTAAGCCTTTACCATTACCTTGACGAGTAGGTGGTGATGGCATTGTACCTCGATTTGATAATGAACGTGTTTGACCACTTTGAGATATGCCTTAAATTATAATTTCATTTTATACAAATAAACTTGATACTTTCTGGTTTTTTTTTTTTTTTGAATACCTCCAAGATTAGTATTAGTTCCAATTGAATTCGAACGAACATTGTCCGGGTATGCTGACGACTAATAAGAGAAAGAATGATATTGAATAGAGATACAATAATGACAAACATATTAGTTCATTGGTAACGAATACTAATTGAATTATATTTAACCATAGTATATCGGTTACTAATAACCTGATAGCTATCGTCACTATTATAGATCGATGTATGTATAATAGATAATATGTACCTCAACAATAGCTGGATCTTGAGTCAATGAACTTTGTGGAGGTTCGCGCACTTGAAGATCTTCGATATCAGCACCACGAAAAATAATATATTCGAAAATTTCATCTCGAGCAGGTACAGGTCGATCAGTTGGACGATCTTCAGTACCAAACGAACGTACTAAAATAAAGAAATTTGAATTTCAAAGTGTATGTGTACTTTGTTTTAAATTCTTACCTTTCGAAAGTGCTACAGTCGATTCATTAGCATCGATTGTATATAGAATACCTTCATAACGAATTTTAGCTTTTGATACAAGACTAATTTTTGAACCAAGATATGGTGAATCAGTTGTACCAGACGATGAAGTTTTCTTCAATGATGTATTATTAGTTAAGCTCATTTTGATATCTTATTCTGCTATCGACGTATAGATGGAGAAAGATGAAAAATGATGATGATAAAATCAAAAGCACACTACTTTTTCTTTTCTCTTTTGTTCACGTAATATAACTTTCGACTATAGTTAGATGATGATATTATATCGGACGAAAACAATCACATTTGTTTTAAATCATCTATCTAGGGTTATATAGAGGATATCTATTCACTATCTTAGATAAAAACGAGAGATGTTTCTAGAAAAGAAAAATCTATATGTACGAGTTTAGTTTATTCCAGGGTATATGGATAGATAGAGTTTTAAATGGTCGGTAAAGCGTCAAAGAGGAGGATTAATTTCAAAATAAATCTTAATATGTTATTTTAAATTGCAAGAAATTTTTTTTTCTTATTTGTGTCTAAAGAAACAACATTTCAGTTCAAAATATTTTTTTTCTATCTAGATGTCACTCAAATACAAGATATTTCATAATGTTGCAATTTCAATAGAGGGCATCACTTTCATTACATTCCACCATTGTTGTGTCGAAGATGGCGCCCTCGATGGAATCTCAATTGTGGTATTAATACATTCTCTATTAGATAGAGGAAATTTTCCGCTACAAACCTACATATATGTCGGTCTAGAATCAAAAACCACCATGAAACTTTTAGTCACCTTTTGTGTGTATTATTTTTATAAAAATAAACGCTTACTGTTTCCAAGAAAAACAATTTTTCAAATATCGTTTGAGTCGTTTTGTATAAATTTTGATTGGTTAAATTGTTTTTTTTTCAATTAAATTTTAGAATGAATCATAGAAAATCAATCGTACGATATGCTTCTGATGTTAAAATGACTGATTTGAATGTTTAAAAGTTCTAAGAATGCGAAAAGAGTATGACATTGATATAGAGAATATTTGATTGAATAGCACAAAGAGAGAGTACAAAAAAAAAAAGAGAAAACAAACGTCTTTTAGAATAAAGAAAAAAATAGATCGATTAAATATATATATATATATCAATCGGTATTCGAATTATTTGAATATCAACAGCTAATATTAATCATATATTTTCAAGAAGTATGGCAAAGTAATCAAATTAATTGCTATAGTCTTTACTCTCAACGATCGATAATCTTAATTTTTGTAGCGTTCTTTCTTTTATCTGTTCGTCGATCACTCTACTTATCTAACTGAAAGAGAAATAGAGCGAATCAATGAACCGTTTTTTTTTTCAAAACATTTATTATCACAAATTTATCAATTTATAATACACATTTGCTGATAAGAATAATATTGCGAAAAAAATACCATCAATTAATGATATGTCTTCAATCTGCTGTTCTAGTGAGTGTTTTAGTGCTTTTTTATAAATAGATAACATAAGGGGTACGGAAAATTAATCCTTATATTCTTTTAATTATTATCAGAAACATATGAAATACAAATTAATTTTACTTTAGATTGTGAATCAACATTTTTATTCGGTGCATCAATTAATTCTACGATGGCATCACCAGAACAACATAATCATGGTTAGTTTTATTTATTATTTGTTTTCTTTTTTTCTAAATCAATATTTAAATATATAGAAAGATCAGCCGGTGCAGAATTTCGTTATGTAGATCGAACAGTACTAATTCGTAATGCAACTGAAGTAATAGTTGTTTTTTTTTTTTATCAAAATAATAATTCATTATTGTTTTTTTTTGTTTTTGATTGAATAGCGTTTTCGTTCTGAAATGCTTAATTATGTAAGTAGTCGTCTTGAAGAATTTTCATCTGAAATGAAACAAACAACTGATATATCATCAATTGATGGTATTATTAAACAACCTGTGATGTCTGCAATAGATTTAACAGCAATTAATAAAATTGAAAATGAATCATCATCATCAATAGGTCCACAAAAGGATGAGAATAAAAAAGTATCAACAGCATTTCCAAGAAAAAATTTTCAAATGCGTTCATCAATACTTACAGAATTACTTGAAGTATCACATTTTCGATCTATTAGACAAATATTCATATCGATTCTTGTTATTGTTTTTCTACAAGTTGCTATAACTGATTTATTTGAATTGGGAACGTAAGTAAATTGTTTTTCTTTTATAAATAAGTGAAAATGTTTTTGTTTTCGTTTCTTTCAGAATTGATTTTCGATTTGATGTAATTCTTTGGAATTTTTCAAATTTATCAGCATGTTTTCGTCTTTGGCTTTGTTTATTTATATCAAGTTGTATAATTCTTTATTGTTGTTTTCATTTTTGGGCATATAAACGTCTTTCATTTATTCCAATTATATCATCATTGAAAGCAACGGAAAATGCAAATAAAAAACCGACTAGTCTATGTAATATAAACAAATTCATTTTATTTATCATAAGTATTTCGATTTTATTTTAGTAATATTTGATTCGACATGGTTTGCTTTATACTGTCTATATATTGGATTATTTTTATTTTTCCCAGTACATTATATTCTTGCTGAGAATTATCCAATTGTTACACGAATTATTATTCTGATAGAACAAGTATGAATTTTTTTTCTTCAGAAATCCCTTTACTGATTAGTACTACGAAATGTAACAACTAAATAAATAAAAAAAGTTCTTGTATTGGGGTTAATTACGCCAATTTAAGTCTGAGTCGAAAGTTCAGCTTCACAGAGTTATTAGTATGCATTGAAAGAATTAATTCGATTTCCTCATATTTGATCGAAAATGCAAATGTTTTTGAAAAAAACTTCCGAAGGAAGTCTTCAAACTGATTAATTCCTTTCGAGTCGTGACTAGGTACACCATATAGATTCTAATGAGCTGTAAATGTCCTGAAAAGATTTCCGATTCTTAGCTTATTGGTGTTGTAAAAGTTTCAGGTCAGTTGATTTACAGTGTATATAAGCAATGTATAAGATGAGACTTTACCATAACCATATGCTACGATAGAAACAATGAAAACAGTTGAAACTAGCACAATTAACTATTCTCATGAAGTCCTGACTCTATACATAGTTTCACTATTTCTGCAGAGAAAAGTTATGAATCCGAACTTTTTACTGGGTATTCATAGTTAATGATGGTCTACATGACACATATAATTCCGACTCAAAAAGCGATTAATCAATTGAAGGACTTCGTTCATTAGCTCATTTTAAGGAGGACCCCCTCGCCCCTCAGAAAATCGATTTTTAAATAAGCACATATACTGAAAGCCCAAAGTGTCCTCTTTCAGATTATGTGCGATTTGTTGCATTTTAAAAGGTTTTGAGTGATGAAAATAGCGGTTTTCTGAGAGCAGTAGTAGAAATATATGGTTTTTTCAGAAATTTTCCTTAGTTACGGGATAGGACAGTAGTCAACAAAGTTGTAGACGGTTGCTAATGAGAAACACATATACGTTCTGTTATTTTAATTAACTATATCAATATGGCGAGTTTTCAGAACTAGATTTTTTGAAACGTTTTCTATAAAAAAAAAAGAGATTTTTAGCGATTTTTTAATGCTAGTTTACATTCATTTTTGCTCATTCCAAACATATATAGGTTATTTTCGATTGCGCATCCGCTGAGCACAGTTAGAGGGTACTCTCTGACGTAGCAACTGGAAAAAACTAGCATTCCATTGTTTATTGTGCAAATAAATCAATGAAAGTTTCCATTGAAAAAACAACATCTGGCTGTTTATAACAATCATAGTTCTTTAAATATATGATGGAAATCTGCACCTAATAATTTGTTTTAGCAAAGCCAGCCACTCATATAGTAAAGACACTATCAAACTCTCACCGCCATCGCTATCATTAACGTAGTCGTTTCTGCTTAGAGTCCTTTATACGTGACGAAATTGCAGTATAGGTGCCATGAGAGTCATAGTGAAATTAAAAATTGTTTCATATTTTTGCTTAATTGTGTAACTTACAAAGAGATTTTTACGCTGATTCCAATTATGTATAACACTGATTACTTTTATCACATTTACACCCGTTTACACATCTAGCAAACTTGTTGATTCGTTTTCTCTAAATCACTTTTTTGGAGAGTTCGGAACCGATTTCTCAGACTGTAGATGAGGTAGCGAGTTACCATTTTTTTTTAAATAAAAGAAGAGACCTATGTCTAGAAATGTCTATACCGTTTTTTCGAAAATCGATTTCCTTGCGGAGATAACTGAATAACACTGATGTCAAAAAGCGCTAACTTCCGAGTTATTGCAAGAAAATGTCTCGGAAATCCGAACAAAATCGAATTTCGAAAAAACAGTATTTACATTTCTAGATATAGGTCTCTTCTTTTGTTCAAAACAAACGGTAGCTCTCTGCCTCTTCGACAATTCGAGAAATCGGTACCTTACGAGGACCACCATTTTGAGGACTAATTTGTCAATAACTCATTAAAACAAAAATCTTATGAGTCAAAAATTTGCAAGAAACTTAGTTAACACAACACACATATTGCCTCAAAATTTCAGCCAAATCGGCCCACGAATAACGAAAAGCGAATCCTGAGGGGGAGGGGGTCCCGCCTTAATTGATGTTTTAATTTCATACAACATTAGGCAATAGCTTTTGAGGATCTACTGGTAGTATTAATATTTTAATTGAATGCTAACCTTTGTAAAGAACTATTCGCAGAGAAACTTTGGCATTAGACATACATTTAATTTGAACTCTGACTCAATATTCGGATTCGTAAACTATCCAGTCAGTTCAGATAGTGTCGGATAATTGTCCAAGCGTTTCTTGAGTTACAAGGACAATTATGGAGGCATTCTAAGGTTTGGTTAAGTTAACGTTTGTGTATTTCTGAACGTTGCTGACTATTCTAGAATGTTTTCAGATCTTCAATTTTTGGATCATTTATTTCACTCTATGTAGAACTATTATAGTCTAGCCTGAAACTCTTTCTTTTATTAATTAACTGAAAATGATCAAACTCGAACGTTCAGGCTTGATGCATGCTTATTTAGATTGTATCGTTACTTGACGTACGAGGAAACTTTGCTAAGTGATGAGTCACTTTTGAGATGAAACTTATTCTCAATAGAATATCGTGGCTCTCATCTGATCACATTCTAAACCGACTTTCAAATATTGAATAGAAATTTTGAAAAATTTAGTACTTCTTATCCTGCAGTTTCATAATGAATTAGTCCTTTTGAGAATTTATATTTGTGGGAAGTTCGAGCTTGAAACTTGATATTTGATTATTAAGGTAATCTCGTTTTTTTTTGAAATAATCTCAAAAATCGCCATAAGTTAAGTAAAAAGATCCATGAACACGAATTCTTGTAGACTTTCTTTAGTCTTAGTAGAGCCTAAGACTGATAAGTTAAGATTTATTCCAAATGCAGATTTAAATAGTGCTACCTGTATATCGAACCATGGTTTATTTGATTGCCTAAACACTTTTTACTTACAACATCTGTACAGAGTAGAAAATCGACTAATTGAAAAGTAGTCTGCATGTTACGACATCCAAATAGTATTGAAATTTTTCACTGAATTCACTATAATGATGATTTAAACCAATACAAATATTGTAAATTTCTATGGTGTTTGCTATTAGTCAATAAAAAGAACCTGTTTAATCACCAATGATGGTTTTGGAGACGCAATTTCTTTTCTATATACAGTTATTGTTCGAACAACTATATTAATGAAATCGGCACTACTTTCATAAAATAATTTGTAATTTTGCTAGAATATTCTACTCTATGCCTGTAGTCATCATGATTAGCATAAATATTCCTGAACCCACGTATAGGTTTCTCAAAAATCCTCATTTTTCCCAGTAAAGCCAACTTTTCTCTGCCTAGAAATAGGTTATTAAAAAAACAAATCACATATTAGAGATTCGCCTCCAAAACTGTACAAACTAATGTGTGGTTTCGTAGTTTTTCAAGTGAACGTTTTTAAATGAAATTGAAGAGTAAGAATCTTTCTCAAAATTTTTCCATTGGGAAATTCTGTTTCAGATTTCGTTAGTTCTTTTTATTAATTATTCATCTTAAGTGGGAGAAATAAATATTTCTCAGGAGCACATGCGATTTCGACAAGGAAAAATTCATGCCTACAGCCTACTGCCATTCTTTCATTAGTTCTAAGAAAATCGAGAAGTCTTTAATACTTGTACCTATAATTTTTTATTTTAGGTTCGATTTTTAATGAAATCACATGCATTTGTGAGAGAGAATGCACCACGTGCTATACTTTATGGTCAGATTTATTCACAAAAAGGTTAATTATTATCAACATCATTTTTTTTCTTCATATGCGTATTTTTCTCGATTTGTTTTCAATAGATCAAACTGAAAACACGACAGAAAATAAATCAAACAATCAACAAGGATATTCTATTCCTCAATCACCATGTCCAGAATTTTCTAAATATATTTATTTTATTTTTGCACCAACACTTATCTATCGTGATTCATATCCTCGAACATCATCAATACGATGGAACTATGTTATAACTCAATTAACACAATTTGTTGCATCAACATTCTTTGGCTATTATTTATTTTATCGATTTTGTTTACCAGTATTTCGGTATTTTAAATCGGAACATGTTACTGTAAAGATTTTCGTTCTCTCAATTCTTAATTGTACTCTACCAGGAGCTCTTCTCTTATTTTGTGGTAAGTTCAAACTAACGGTTGTAGCTAAAAATAATCAATAACACCGACTCTATCAATTTTTTTCTATCATATCATTTGTTCACGTATACAGTTCAAACAAAAGTGAAAGTCTTAAAGATGAAATAAAGCCTTCTTTTTAAGAGCCTATAGTGTTGGATCCAGATCCAGACCCGGTTAGATAATAATTTATAGAATAAACTGACTAAAACTATAACTTGGAAACACAAATGCGGCATTGATAGACGAAATAAAACGTTCTATCAATACATTATAGTAACATATTTGACAATTTGAAAAACCCTGAATTATCTTGAATTCATCAATATTTGCTGTTGTTTTAGTTGGAAAGACAAAAACTTTCCAATATAGAGATGTGTTGGTTTTTCTTTAATGACAGCACATGTCAATGGGTTTTGTTTCAAAAGAAATCTGATCCATATGGAGCTATACTCTTTTATCTGTAATAATGAATCAGCACCGGTAGTCAAATAAAGTATTTATAAAAATTGATGATTGAGAAGGTTTGCTAGGAATAGAATTAGAAATCAGGAGAGTTCGACAAAGACATTTTTATCTGTTTCTTTGTTTTACTTTATGTATGTGCTATTTATTACGAAATTGTTTTCGCCAAAAGAAAAACGACATGAGATTTTCGGAAATTTTATATTTTATTGAAGACTCGTCTCCTTGCAATAACAAATTAGCTTGATCTAGTCCATTGAGACTTCTATTCGAGACATGTCTGTAATCAAGCAAAAAAGAAAAAAGTAGAGAAGAACTTTTGAAAATATTACGAGTGCAATTATTTATGGGCCATCCGTCAGCAATACATTGGATAATAAAAGTCATTCATTTTATGTTCTTATGGTTGTCTATAGGAGCTTTATAGGTGAATACATATATATATATATATAAAGGAAAAAAAAGAATGCTACCAAAGGCTGTATTTTAATTGGACAGTCATAGACAGTATGACGAATTAGAGCAAAAAGAAAAAAAGGATGATATTATATTTGAAGAGAAAAATCTTGATGGTAAAAACTTAATTCAGATAATATTCAATTTCAAGTATATACTATGATCATTAATCGTGTATCAATTTTGATAAAGAGCTAAAATTTCTAAGTGATACTCTCGAAATTTTTCATTCTCGATACGACATCGAATTGAAATTAGTAATGTTAAACTTCTTTTTTTCTTTTTTCAATTCCTAGGGTTTCATTATTTATTCAATTTTAACATAATGATTATTTTATTAAAATAATATGATTCAGTAAATTAAGGACAAAATAAAATTTTGTCTTTAAACATTCATCCTTTCAAAAGATAATTTAAAATCTTCTTATATACAAGGGAAGCTCTTCAGATATCCAATTCAATCTGTCTAACTGATTCTTTTGTTTATAGATACTACCTAATATTCTAATAAAAAAAAACCTAAAAGGATTTGGGTTTGACTAAGCTATCGAATATTTTTTCTAGAGGATCTGAGATTTTATTTTCGAATTTCGATCTAAAAATTTATGCATATAGGAAACTCATCTAGACTAACTTTTCAAAAAAACGTATCCATACAAAAGGGGCTTATATATTGAAAGCTTCATATCTCCAAGAGATTTTGTTCAAAAGTTTTGATTATTTTTCTTCTTCTAGCTTTCTATGGTTTTCTTCATTGTTGGCTTAATGCATTTGCTGAAATGCTTCGTTTTGCTGATCGACAATTCTATCTTGTAAGTTTGTTATTATTTTATTTTTATTTAATTTAAATTTTTATTTACTTATTTAAGGATTGGTGGACAGCTACTTCATGGAGTGCTTATTATCGAAAATGGAATATTGTAAGAAAGATTTTTCTATATTCTATTTAATTATTTTTATATAGGTTGTTCATGATTGGCTTTATACTTATATTTATCGTGATTGTCATAAAGTAAATCTTATTTACAAAAAAAAAAAACAACAAAAGGAAATGATTAGTTTATCTATATTACTCATTTTTAGTTATTTGGTGTTAAATATCGTTTGGTATCAATGTATGCGGTTATATTTTTAAGTGCATGTGTTCATGAATATATACTTGCATTGTCATTTGGTTATTTTTATCCAGTATTATTTTTACAATTTGCTATTTTGGGATGTAAGTTTTTTTTAGTTTAGAAAAGAATGTTTTTTTTCATTTTTTTGATGTCGTTCTTCTACTAAAGTTATTGCAATGCTTATTCTACCACAACGTTCACCAAATATTGCTTTTAATATTTTTATATGGACGTCCTTATTCGTTGGACTTGGAATGCAAATGTGTTTATATTCAATTGAATGGTATGCTCGACAAAATTGTCCTCGAGTAGTAGTAAGTGTTAATTAAATTTCGTGGATCTTCTTTTTTTGCCATAAAACATTGTGTTTGTTTTCTAGAATGGTCCATTGGATTATTTTATACCACGATCATTTTTTTGTCATGATGGAAATGATACATTAACAATAAATACTAAATCTTCGATAACAAATAGTCATTTTGATATATAAGAGGAAAAAAAAACAAGATTCATTTTATGACTGATAAACAAAAAATACATATTTTTTTTCTAATACCGTCCGTTAAAATATTTATTCCTTGATGTTTTGATTCTCATAATAGAAAAAAAAAACTGATCTAAATTTTATTTTATTTTGTTTGTTTTTTGAATTTGTAATAATAACTATTTTTAAATAAAAATTCTATTCTTCATTGATTCATTATATGTTCAATTATCTATCTGTCGTCGATATTCGTAACCTGTGACGGGGTAGACAAAAAAAGAGAGAAAACCATTATTATTAGTAAAGAGCGACAAATAAGCTCAATGCGATTCTTTTTTTTTTTCTTCTGTTGAGTAATATGTGATTGATGCATAAGAGAGTGCAATGAAAGAAGGTTATAATATATCCCCTATGCCTGATTCGTTTTTGATAAACGATCAGTTGAACTGGAGGGAAGGATTTGCTTGAACTATAAGTATTATATTAATCATAGTGTCTATATTGTTTGTAATATAAACAGGCTTCTTTCTTTTTGATATTATGATATGGGAATTTAGAGGTCAAAGAAGTCCCGCAGCGGGTCAACATTACGTACATTTACATTTTTCCATATCACTATTATTGTTGCAGTGTCGCAAACATAAAGTTAGTTAATGCGACAGAATGAGACACACTGGCCAAGGTCTTCAACTTCCTCATTTTTTCATCCGTTCCTCTGTCTACTCCCACTCATGCACACACCTCTCAGTCTTTTTCTTATTTACTTGCCATATGTCTCAGAACATAGAGACCAAGCATTTATATTTTTCTTCTTCTTCTTCTTCTTCTTCTTTCTGCTCTGACAAAAAAATAAGGAGATCAACAGCTTGCTATTTCTTTCTCTTATATATTGCGTTGGTTGTTGTTCAAGGCAAGAGAGATGGAGACAGAGAAAGAGCGCATGCAACAAATCGTCCGATGGTGGTGCCGCATTGCAAAGGAATAAGAAGAACATATTCTATATCTTATGTAAGAGGAATAGGCCATTTTTTTCTTTATATATAAGACAGAAAGAAAGCAAGAAAAAAGAGGCTATCGTACATAGAGAACAAATGATCAAGCTTGTCTACATGCATTTTATCGATAGAAAAAAAAAGAAAAAAAATAAGAGACAGCAAACTTCATTCATTGATAGAAAAAACCAAGACGCAAAAAAAGAAAAATCTCTCGTTTTTTTTTGCGCGGAACTTTTTAGGGCCATTTTTTCTCTTCTTTTCATTGCTGATTCGCTGTACTCCCTCTTTTCATTGTCGTCATCTATGGCGTCCTTTTTTTCTTCTTTTTTTTGCTTTCTGGCCTATTGCGCTAGTCGACAGAGACATCAGTGCGTCGAAAGTACACACGTGATACCTTAAATGAAGAGAGGGAAAGACAGAGAGCGGGGGAGAGAGAGCAAAAAACACCTTCATATACATAGATATGCTAAGGAATCGATTGCTTTATAAGGCATAGTCCTATATATACATACACATAACGACTAGGTACAAATGACACGCAATTAGTGTCGATGGTAAGTTAAACAATCAATTGCTTGCAAAGACTTTTATTTTTTTATTTATGATTGTAAAAGCTTATTGACCTTGATTTAAATTATGTTTAAAAAAAAAAAAAGAAAGATTTGTATAGTTTTTTTTTCTTTCTCTTTCTTTCTTTCTTGCTTTCTCTTTTCAATTTTAGATTGTTGTCGGGTTCCATCATTAGCTGACAGCTAGGAGGAGAGGAAAGTGTGTAAGAAAGCAGGTTTCCAGCATGACTCGTTAAGTTTTATACAAACTGTGGCCTGTTTGCTCGAGAGGCCTCTATATAAAGCGAGCGAAAAACAAAACAAAACAATTAAATATGAATGAAACTAGCAATATAAGCAGTAGTTTAACCGGTGGCGTTTGTTCATCGTGTCTTAAAGAAATGCCTCTTATTATGACATCATCATCATCTCGACTCTGTTCAAACTGTATAACTGAATTTATTGATCCCCAACAACAATTTTCATCACATATGAATAATAAATTTCCACTTTTTCCTTCATCACAACCATTATTAAATATGCAGCAGCATCAACAACAACAACAACAACAATCCCAATCAATAATACAAGCAAATTTTTCACCCTTATCATCATCTTCAGCATCTTCGACATCATCAATATCATCTACTAATCGACGTTTGAGTGCATTTGATCCATTTACATCCGGTAATGATATAAAAACTAGTTTTCTACATCCATTTACTGACATAAATAATGCTTTTTCAACATTAAATTCATCCAATTTAACTAATAATAATAATAATAATAATAATAATGATTTTGAATCAACAACATCTGATTTTATGCGTTATTTTCATCATTTTCTTAATGGAAATAATCATAATAATATCGGTGATCGTGATAGTCCTACTAGTAGTGTTCAAAGTAATGACTTTTCCCCGTTATTTGCCTCAAATTCAACAAACAACAATAATAATAATAATCACTTACCATCTCAATCTTTATTACAACGTCAACATTCAGCGTTTTCATCTATTGATTCTACAACAAGTTCAACACCTTCATTAAATCGTTCATCAATAAATGATCTTCCATCAACATTATGCTGTTTCGGTAATAATCCTCCATATACGTATTGTATTGACTGTGAGACATCATTGTGTGAGAAATGTGCATTAACACATCCAAAAATGATTGGTTTTAAAGATCATCGACAACAATTATTATCATCACAATTTAATAATAACAATAATAATAATAATAATAATAATAATAATAATAATTGTAATTCTCGATCAATTATTGGTCAACCTCCACGACAACAACAATCGCCAGATATTTTACCACTAGGTGCAGGTAAATTGTGTTTTTCTCTTCTTATTTATTTATTTATTTAATTAACAAGGACATTTTTTTAGTTCGTTTATCACAACAAACACCATTTGATTTTTCTTTCAATCGATCTTCATCAACAAATAATTCTTCGAATGATTTTCAATCATTATTTAGTTCATTCTTTTCACAACTATCACTTAGTACACCAAATACTGAGAATTCAAGTAATAATAATAATAATAATCCTCCTTCATCACCATCTGTATCATCAACAACAATTTTTTGTCATGAACATTCAACATTAAAAGCATCCTATTATTGTGATATCTGTTCACGTGCATATTGTCATGAATGTCAAGTTCTTCATGCTCAACAACATACACTATCATCATTACAAGATACAATTGATAATGCACGACAATTAACAAAACAATTTTTAATTGAATCACAAACATTATTATATCATCTTGATGAATCATTAAAACAATCAACACGTACAATGGAAAATATTTCAATAAAAAGTTCAACAATTGAAAATGAAATACGTACAATGATTAAATATTTTCTTGATATACTATCACAAAGACAAGATTTTCTATTGAAAAATGTTGATAAAATACAAACAATGAAAACACAAACTTTACAAAGACAAATCAATGAATTAAATCAAGTTATTAAACAATTACATTTAACAATACTTGGTAAGTGAGACATTTAAATAGCATGTCAAGAAATTAACTTGATGATCTAACTTAAATTCGTTTTTTTCTATTCTAAATAGATTGTAATGAATGTTTAAAAACTGGTAATGACGCAGATTTAATTCGTATACGAAATCGTTTATGGAATGAAACTATTAAAATGAAACAAACATTATTATTATATGTAAAACCAATTGAAGATGATTATATACAATTTCAAGGTTCTCCAACATTAATTAATAAATCTTTACTGAATTATGGTCAATTAATGACTTCAACATATCCACCATTATGTGAATTATTTGGTGATTCACTTTATTTTACTATACGTAATCGTTTAACAGTTTTAAATTTACAAACACGTAATCATTTAGGTGAATTACGTACAACAGGTGGTGATAATATTCAATGTTGTTTAATTGATACAGGTACAAATCAAACTGTATCATGTGATATATATGATCGTCAAAATGGACAATATTTTATAACATATATAGCTCAAACTGATAATATACATATATTAAATGTCTATGTTAATAATGCACCAATAAAAGATAATCCATTTCGTATACAAATCAAACAAAATCGTAATTATTCAACCATTGGTTTAAAATTAGAATTTGACATAGGTGGTGAAGGTGATCAAGATGGTCAATTATGTCGACCATGGGGTGTTTGTTGTGATCATCAATCAAATATAATTGTTGCTGATCGTTCAAATAATCGCATACAAATATTTAATAAATATGGACAATTTTTAAAAAGATTTGGTGCACAAGGTAATCGTCCTGGACAATTTGATCGACCAGCTGGTGTTGCATTTGATAAACAACTACATCGGATTATTGTTACAGATAAAGATAATCATCGTATACAAATTTTTACATCTACAGGAGAATATATATTTAAATTTGGTGAAAAAGGTACGAAACCCGGTCAATTTAATTATCCATGGGATGTAGCTGTATCATCAACATCACAAATATTAATATCAGATACACGTAATCATCGTATACAATTATTTTCCAAAGATGGTTTATTTTTACGTAAATATGGTTTTGATGGTCCTATATGGAAACAATTTGATTCACCACGTGGAGTTGTTTTTACTCATGCTGGTCATATAATTGTATCAGATTTTAATAATCATCGTTTATTATTTATATCATCAGATTTTCAAAATGCTCGATTTTTTGGTAGTGAAGGTTCGGCAAATGGACAATTTCTTCGTCCACAAGGTGTTGACATTGATGCAGAAGGAAATATAATTGTAGCTGATTCAAGAAATTATCGTGTACAAATATTCTCACCACAAGGTGTTTTCAAAACTAAATTTGGTACGCAAGGTTCAGGTCCTTTACAAATGGATAGACCAAGTGGATTGTGTGTTACGCCTGATGGTCTTATTCTTGTTGTTGATTTTGGTAATAATCGTATTCTTGCTTTCTAATAATGTATACGATTTTATTTCTCACACATTTCACTCAGGTATCTATCTATCTCTTCATAATTCACATATATCAACCCGGTAGATATGCACAAAGAACAGTCTCTTTTTATTCTTTCTCTCGGAACTTTTGAAAACAAAATTCAAATTTAAACAAAAACGACTTATTTCTTTCATTTCTTTACTTTCTTTTTTGTTTCCTTTTAATTCTCTCTATGAGTGAGGCACAAAATATGAACAGTAGCAGGAAAATTACAATTTACGTATATGTGTACATATAAAGTCTCATTAATTGTTGTTTGTTGTTTATAATCATTGTTTATTGAATGTTTTCCTTGGGTTTTTCTTTCCTTCATGAGCACAGTGTGCTTCTTTAAAACAAAAGAAATTTTTCTTCATTTTTAAAAGTCCTTAGCTTCAAGTCGCTAGACCTATCTGCAGGGTAACACATAAATAGACTTCATATAATGTTCTCTCGTTATTTGACTCAGGAACACGTCTCTGTGTGCGTCTCTCAGGATGAACAGTAGTGACTTTTTTTTCTAAAAACAGTACTACAATAATTCGTTCTTTCTATCCCGCCTCTTCTCTTTTTTTTTGTTTTAACAAAAAAAAGCAAATACTACAGGATATTTTTCTTCTCTACTACTACTACTACTACTACTACTACTACTACTGCTGCTGCTGATAAACCAAAACAGGAGGCAAACGAACAGAGTTCTACATTTTTTTTCTTATATAACATGCAGTTCGCAGACATTTTCTTGCCACTCGGATTTTTAATGAAATCTATATTTCAAAAAAAGAAATACACTAAGTGTTTTTTTTCGTCTATTGCTATTGTTTCATTTCTTTTTTTTTCTTTTCATCTTATAAGTTTTTGCTCTTGCTTTTTCTTGCTTCAGCATTTTGTCCTATTTTACAAGCTGCTATTTCTTCTTCAGTGTGTGTGTGTGTGTGTATTGTTCTCTTTTGTAACATGATCTTTTTGTTTTGAAATTCGAGTGCAAATTAATAAAAAAATAAAGTCGATTTATCATTTACTTATTTACTTGTTTAGTTTGCCTTCAATTCAGGGTCATTGTCGGGCGTCTTAACACGCATTACTTGTTGACTCTTGTCAAGGTTATATATTAACTATTCTATGCGTGTATAATAGGTTGCCTTCGCCGGATAAAAACAAAGTTTGGCATTGAGAAAGAATTGTTTGTTTCATTCTCTCATCGTTGATAGACATTCGTCCTTGTCTGAATCGTTAGTACAAAAAAACGAGAAGAAAAAGAAAAAGAAAAAGAAAAAGAAAAACTCAAGGAAGAATGTCTATGCATGCACATTGATGAACGACTTATATGTCTTGTCCTTATCAGACAGACATTTGTCAAGGTCAACGAGTCGGATATCAAATAAGGAAAAAAAATAGAACGAATGATTTTATGCATATTTTACAGCTGATGATGATCATCTCGATAGCATGTTACCTTGTAGAGAACAAAAAAACATATTATTTGTTATGACATAACAAGGTCGAGATACTCTTGTTAATTTTATTTCTTCAATAAAAATCATCCTCCAAGGACTTTATGTTTAACTGCATGTTTTCAAACGTATTGTATTATCCATACAAAAGCAAGCAAAAGCTGGTTGGCCAGCTGAATTAGCAAAACAATAACCCGGCAAACAATTCAGTTCACAAACAGCTAAATAATTAAAAAGAAAAAAGAAGATAAATACATAAATAGAAATACTATTAATAGCAATATACCTGGACGCATATCTAATTCACATGTATTTCCTGTATAACCAGGAGCACATGTACAAGTATAACTATTTCCTGAAACATTGCATGTACCTGTATTCTTACATGGATTACTGTCACATGGTGCTGAAAATTTCAATAAACAAAAAAAGAACTTTTTAATCTTATCAAATACAAAAACTTACAATAAACTGATGTTACAGTTTCACATTGTTTTCCTCGAAATGGACTTGAACACTTACATTCATATGTAAATGGACCTTCCGAACATGTACCTCCATTACGACATGGTTGTGATATACAATTACCTTCCAAATAGAAAAATAAATAAATATTATAATTACTTCTCATTGTCAAACAAACATACGAGTTATAACACTCATACATCGATCTCCTGTATATCCTGGTTGACAAGCACATTTAAAAGTTGTTCCATCTGACATTAATACGCATGTACCACCATTATAACATAATGCTGAATTACATGACGCTTTAATAGACAAGAGAAAATGTTAAATTAAATGTTTAATAAAAAAAACACAGATAAAACGTACCAACTATAGTTTCACAATTTTTGCCTGTATATCGAGGAGCACATCCGCATACATAATCATTATTATTATTTATTACAAAACATGATGCACCATTCTTACAAGGTGACGGCGAACAAACTATTGAAAATATAAAAATTTAAAAATAATATATTTTTCTTTTTCCGGATTTTTACTATTATTTTGATATTGACATTGAGGACCAAAGTATGGGTTTTTACAGGTACATTGATACGATGGATTGACTGGCGTGCAAAGACCATCATTCAAACATGGAGAACTCGAGCATTGATTCGATAGTTCTTAAAGAAAAATAAATTAATAAGAGATATAACGATTAGTTTTGTTGGATTTCTTCAAAAATCTTTTTCAACTAACTCTAATCGTTTTATTTTCAAACGAGAGGAATTCTCCAATTGATAAACCACTTATAAGCTAAGACTATATATATTATGTAGACCTACATGAGCAGTAAATACCCTTAACAAAACAGTTCAGACCCTTAGCTTATTACTGCGGAGATATTTTGCACTATGACGGTATTTTTTAAATGCATGCCGTTGTAATAGAAAAATTGATTTTCGGTTTTCGACTTAAAACTTTGACTAGAGACAGGTCTAGATTTTTCTTGTGAATTTTTCAGATCTTGTCGTTGTTTCTATTCTAAGATGCAGCAATGGTAATCGCGGATCTTTTACATCGTCCATATAAATCGGTAGATTTAATGTTCTTATTTCAGAATAGAAGCAAATCAAAAGGTCTAAAATTACTCTCATTAAAGTCTGTGTCTATCCAAAGTTCCAAGTCAAAATTTGAAAATCAGTTTTTCTGTTATTACGGCATTCACTTTTTAGAATACCATTAAAAATGCTGTATCTCCACAATAGTAAGTTAAGGATAAGAACTCTTTTTTACGATATTCATAGCTCATTCGAATCTACATACTGCACATAAGCTCCATTCATAAGTGACTTATCATCTGAAGGACTTCCTTCATAGAAACTTACCACATCTTGAACCTGAATATCCAGGTCGACATTGACAAAAAGCTATCGTATTATCATTTAATGCTAGACATGTGCCTCCATTTAAACACACGACTGATGTACAAATAGCTACAAGCAATAAAAAATAAAATAGATTATAAATTGATTTAAACTGTAAACTATCTACATGCTAGTGAAATAAATGTTTCACAATGAATTCCTGTGTATTGTGAACTACATGAACAAGAATAAGCGGAATTCGGACCAGGAATACATAGACCGTTATTTTGACATGGCGTTGGCTGTATGAAGCATCGATTTAAATCTATAAAAAAAGTCATTTTTAAAAGATAGCAGCATATGAATTTTAACATACTTTCGCAGTGTGATCCATATGTATATTCAGGACATTGACAAAAATACGAATTAGGAGATGGTAAAACAATACATGCACCACCATTGAAACATGGATTTTGTAAACATGGTGATACTGTTGTTATAGTTGCTATTAAGAAAAAAATAAAATAAGTTTGTAACAATAATTAAAAGCTTATAACTAACTTGAAGGTGTTGTTGTGATCCTTTGATCACAATTTTTACCAGTTAATAGAAGACCTTCTGGACAAATACACATATAATCAGTGCCACCATTTATTTGCATACATCTAGCATTATTACGACAAGGATTTGACCAACATGCTAAAAGAATATAGATGAATTTTAATGAAACCATTTATTAGACATTTACGATCAGTTTGTCCATATACGATTGTAACCGCCCAGAAGACGATAAAAATAAGAGAGTAGAACTTGTAATGCATTTGAAGATATTATCAAATTTAATTTAAAAAAAAACACTTATATTTATATCAAAACTTAATAAAAATTATATTTAATAACAATGTATCACTTTATGACATTTGAGAGAGACAGGCTTATAGGGATATACGAACAAAAAACAATAAATTCAATTATACAAACGCGTAAAAACAATAGAATTAAATATAAAATTCAATCATATGATAGGTCCATAGAGATATTGAATCAAAGAATAGATAATCAACAACAACAAAAAACACAAAAATGACTTGTTTCAATATAAATTCCATTGACAATTTATTTTATCAAACAAATGAATCACACTATTAATAAAATTAGTTTACAACATTTCATAAACCAATGATTTAGCTAATCAATTCATACGTAAAATTAATATTGAAAATCATTTTCAAAAGTATTCATTTGATATAATGCTGAAGTATTAAAAAGTACATTTTATACATACTTGGTTAACGGAAAATCTTCAAATCTGAACTCGGATCTGGACACGACCGAGTTTCGAACCAACTCGATACATTCTAACTTGATCTAATCGAGAATATGTTATTAAATGATTTTATTATTTGATTTATTCTTCAATGCAATAAAACAACATTTATCAAAAAGATACTATGATTATTTTATTCACAATTTCACGAAAAAAGAAAAACTAGTTTTCAAAACAAAAAACTAAAAATCATTGAGTTTCATATTACATCAATAATATTTTTGAAGTGTATCATTTCAATTTTCTCTTGTTTTATTGTAGATAAAGTGTCGTTCGATACTCTAAGTTCGGCATAGAATAAATAATGCATGACTTACACCAGCCTTCAACATTCTTTCATCATTGTCTAATCCATTTTCTTCGTTTTTTTCTCATACTATGGCACTAGTATATTAAAGATGTCTATCTATTTGTGTGCACAAAGGGTGTCGACACGTCATCAGTAGAATGATCGATCGACATATTGCTCACGATTGTACGTATATTATTAACTTCAGTAATTATAGTCAGTATAATCTCAAGAGGTATACAATAAAACAAAACAAAAAGCGAGAAGTCAAGCAATATACATGACTGTTTTTACTTTCTCTTCTTTTATATAAGACCGCAAATCACTGCCGAAGAAGAAATAACTATTCAGCCGACAGGATATGAAAATTAAAACGAAGAAACATCAGAGAGAAAAAAAAAATCTATTTTCAATTCCCTTACGAGTAGAAATGCATGTCAATGCATATTTAAGTCTGATCTAAGGTAGAAAATCACATTAGTCGTTTCAAGAGAATCTACTAATGACTTACAAACTATACATTATAATTCTCTTTGTAAACATGAATCTTGTTTCTAATAGTCTAAATAATGTTCTATTCATTGACAACAAATGAAAATTTAATAACAATCGATAATATTTTAATTTCGTTCAATTTTGACTATCTATCACTATTAATTTGTATTGAAAAACATATTATCCTTACTTAAAAGTAATCGAAATGATTTCTCGTAATATAAATGACATCTACACTTGCTCACAATGTAAGGACTATTACAAACCACAATAGATCACCAACTACATCAACACATACTCAACACTAGTTATGTAAAAAAAAAAACGATATTCAGCATATATAAATGACTCCATTATATACGTAATATTGAGTATCATCATAACGAAGTTGTCATGGCGTGTATATGCTATTCGATATAGCAATCAAAGTACTTGAGATTATCAACAATGACATGAAACATTCACTAGAGATGGTACAAAAAGACTATCCGGGTCAAAAAATCCTATTATAAGATCTTGTACGATTCTTGTATGATTTTCTAGAGTTTTCCACAACATTGAATACCTGATTTTCTTCTATTTTTGCTTTCTATCATCTTGTTTTCTCAAAAAAAATCTTTTATCTTTACTCGCATATGGATATTTTCTTAGAAAAATCACAAAAAATTAATAAAACCAAAAATATATTTCCAAAACAAACTTATTTTTATTGAATTTACTAATTAAAATGAACCAAGACAATTTAAACAAAGGAAAGTCTACTTCTATCGTCTAGCAAGATGTTTGAAAGAGAAAAATACAGTTTTCGAAAAACCCACCACAGGCCTTGAATATCCAGAAGAAGAGCTGATCCTTCTCTGGTTCCGCCATTCCAAACTTTCAAATCTCTCGAACTTCTAAATAGCCCTTCTAGAAGCGGAAATCTGCATATGATATTGTATATCGAAACATAAGGATATTCAAAAATTTGTTTGTCTTCTCAAAATTAGATTCGCTTTTTCTTTTCTTATGTTAATCAATCTCATTCGTCGTTAGTTTAAATTATTTTTGATCAATGAAAATTTTTCTCTTTCTATGATATAGATTATCTGTGTTGACCAACAAGAAAAAGAAGAAAAGAAGAAAAAAAAAAAGCAGCAGAGAATTATGAACAAGTCACAATTTCTTCAAGATTGATGATTTCATCAAATTAAAAACGACAATCAATACAATTCTAAAAAAAAAAAAAAGAAGAAAAGAATACATCAATCTCCATCATAATCTATCATGATGAATCAATACCACCATTCTGAAACACATACAAATTTTCCATCTCATCATCATCATCTTCATCTTAATAATACAACAGCAACAACGAATACTACAACTATTTTTCAAACACCAACAACAAATTATAATTTACTTGATGAAAATTATTTTTATACATCATTTTCATCACCTAAACATTATCAACCAACATTTTATGATTCAGAAAATTCTTATGAACAATATTCAATTGATAATTCAACAACAGCTGAATCAATTTATCATCCAATACAATCGTTTGATCAATGCCATAATTATTCAAATAATAATGTACAATTAAATCAACAATCTTATGAAGATTTTTCATTATCTAATAATCCAACAGAAATTATTGAACAGTCATCAGTTAAACAACAACCAAATATTGTGACAGAAACAAAATATAAATGGATGCAAATCAAACGTACACCAGCTAAATCATCAGGTAATTTATATTAGTACACGTCCAGAAATTTATGCCATCAGATATAAAACAAGAAAAATGATGAGTAAACATGGTACAAGTGTCCAACAAATAGACGATGAAGAAATTTTTTTGTTTTGTTCAAAATTCATCAGTTATTTTATCTACCAATCATCTAACAACTTGTCACGATAGATGATTGATGTTGTTAGAATACCACTGAGAAATCGTAAATCGATTGTTATGATAATCGATCTGGAATTATAATTGTACAAAGAGCGGCATATGATTTATTTAATGAATATTGATTTCTGTTAACGAGAGAACCTCCCGAGATATCAAATTACTTTTCGATCGAGACGATGATTAATAGAAGAGTTTAGAAATTTTTGAGCCTTTCATTCTAGGAATATCGAACTTTTACTGGCTTCCCAACAAAAAGTTGTGATCAAATTAAAAGTTGATTTTCCATATGAACGTAGCTTTGTGTTGAAAAACTAGAAAAATTTCAATAACGAAGTCCTGGAAAACTAAACCATTCTAAATTTTTCTATTATTCATAAAATGAAAGTCATCTAGATCAAAAAGTGATTTGATCGCTGAAGAGGTTCCTTCGTAACTTTCGATAATGAAATAGATTGTTATTAAAGGTAGATATGTCCAGTGTTGATTATAAATTACAGAATCATATGGTTGGTGAGAAATTTTCTTGAAACATGTATAATGGTGACTTCTTCCAATCTTGCTGAAAAATATACGTTCTTATTCAGCAGAATTTCAGTATTTTTTTTTTGTTCACCCTAAATTCGATTAGTTTAGTGAAAATCTTCTAATATCGGTGTTCTGAGTCATTGAATTTCCATCTAGGAGTGGGATGTCATTCTATTTTTGAAAAATGTTCATTCTACGCTTCCCTTGTCTTCAGTACAAAAGCCTGGAATGGTTGGATTTTTGACACCTTCGTTCTCAAGATGAATTTTTCAACAAAAAGATATGGTTCCACAAAATCGACTTTCGAGCTTTGCCTGAACAAAGACACATAGAAGAATTTCAAATAATAAATATCTCAGGATAGGAAACATCAAAAGATCTGATGGAAACTACACCTTTTTGTTAAAAAATTCATCTCGAGAACGAAATCTTTGGAAACCGAACAATTCTACACTTATCTATTATACTCATTAATACTAATTAAATAAACATTGTTCCGATAGCTAAGTAATTTGATATCTATAAAGATTCTCTAGTAATTTATGCCTCAGAACACCTTTAAGTATATACTCATGTATTAGATTAATAAAATGACGTATCATTGACGAGTAATTTCTATGTCTTTTTGAGAAATTTCATCTTAACTGACAAAGATACTTTTCGTCAATTCGAAAGTAAAGATAATTCATCAAAGGTATAAACAAAAA